GCAATAACCAGGCCCAATAGGTCTTGCCAATATACTTTTGAAATTGAAGCTCTAAACACCCCCGCAGCAATAACTGAAGCATGCTTATGTCTGCACATGACCCTACCAGCCACTAGCGGGAGGCTACGTGTGAATGCCTGTGCCTTCCCTCCATACACACCTCCTGGGTGTGTTTAGCAATGCGCTGAAGCAAATTAAATCCTCAGTAACAGCCAAACTATCTAAATAAGAAACCCAACCCAAAGGAGAAAAAAGGTGGACAGGGTTACAGGTGCTGATTTACACTGTGAAAGAAAACATGGTATTTAGCAGGAGACTTTTCATAAAGATCACCGAGAGCGAGAGTACCTCACCCTTTAGCTATTCAGACAGCTGCTTTTTCATTGTGAAAGGTTCAAGAGTTTGTCACAAACAAAGAGTTTAATCAAGAATTTCATTTGCAGTTGTCAGGAGGTTCATAACTGGCTTTTAAACTTTATAATTGGGTTTAGTATAAGTGCTAAAGTCAAATTTAAAAAAAAAATCAGAAACTAAGGAAGACTAAATTCAAGGAGAATAATTTACTTCTCAGTCTAAGTACTCAAGTAACTCCTGAAAGCAGGAAAAGAAATTACCTAAATGTGTCAAAATACTTATTAGTACCTCTGAAAATTATTTTAAAATATTCAAGACCCTAAATATTTTAAAACAGTAAAGCCAATGACAAGATAATTTTACAGAAACTTACTCATTTCAATTACGTCCAGTTATAAAAAGGAAAAGAACCCTACATAGCTCCATGTCTTGATTATTTAGCATCTATTGATTCCCTTCCCATTTATGAAACTAGGAGAATTCTATGTGTGGCAATGTGCTCCAAAGAAAACAAGAAACTATCCCTTCTTTCACCTCCCCTAGTTTCTACTAGGCCACACCAGCTCCTGCACATTTGAAGAATGGAGTTTCGCTCAAGACAAACATTCATGACCTCTGCACATCTCCCAGCGCCTGGGCTGACAGCGAGTGTGGCAGGTGAAGGAGTGGGAGATGTTTTCCAAGTAAAACCCAAAGAAAAGGCCAGCTGTGAAGACATGGCATGGGTTTCCCTTGGTGCAGGGCAAGCAGTTTTCTGTGGCTACAGTGAAAGGCGAGGCCACGTCCCTCCGACTGCTCTCAGGTGCACTAGTGCCCCTACAATCACTCCAGCAGAGTCACCTTGTGTGGAACAAACTTCTGAATAAATTATTTTCTCTCTAGTAAGTGATCACTGAGGAATAGAACAAAAGATGGTCTGCACTGTTCAGTGTGCTAAATTTAATGGATGGAAAATCTTAGAAAAAAAATTTCAAGGTGGGACTATAAGCTCAAAAACCTAACAACTGCAGCAACAAGTAAAATTTCAGCTTAAACTAACAACATATAAGTCTCTCCTCTTTATTGAGGCTAAAACATAGCGATGATGTTTCATAGCGATATAGGAAGAGCAAGGTGGGGGGGGGTACTCATTTCCACCTACTTTACCCTCCTGACAGCTGGCCTATGGTGCATCATGACCCCTTTAAGATGGTGAGGCTTCACCTCAGAAACACCTAGACTCCAAGATATACCAAGAAGCATTAAAGCACCAAACTGCTTTATAAAATGGGAATCTATGTCAGCTCATCTGCTTACTGGCAATGACTTAAAAACCTAAACTCGCCAACCAGCATCCTCTTGGTCTTGCAGGTGGCCTCATGGAAAGCTTCTCTCCCTCTTGGTTTTATCTGAATGTGGGTACAGGGAAGAGCAGTAGTTCAGCAGTAGCTGAACATTTCTTACTTAAATAAAAGAACTGTTCCTTTGACTGATTTCCCCTTTAATCCCATTGTCAACCATCTGAAGGAATGTTAATATTGAAGCATGAACGTGGGTCTATTGTGTGTATAAAATGTCAAAAATAATCACAACCCATCGATTTCCCTGCCAATGCCCTGTTTTATTAACAGTATATTCTTTTTGTTTCTGTGTATTTACAGGATTTGCTTGTTGTGCCTAAATGGTGTGCCTAATGGTGTGCCTAATGGCTTTACTTCTGAGGTACCAATAACTATAGAATTATTTTGACTACATTGGGGTAATTTTTTATGTTTACTAAACATCTTTCATATTTACTTAAGCAGTGGGGATATTTTGCAGCTGCACTGCCATGGTCAACATAACTATTAATAAAAATTAAGGAAGATACTAGAATCATTACTTAAATGTCAGTTTCATTTTCCTTATAAGTTTATCTATAAACAAGTGAGTGACATCATCCTTTTCTGCACAGTAACCTTAAACTAAAATATCACCATTTCCCCAACAGAAAAAAAAAAAATATATATTCTAGCAAGTGAAATTCAAGTGTGTGGGAATAACAATAAGACATAATCACCAAGAAAATATCTAAACTTGGTTATTTTATAATATCTAAACAGTACTTTGTATTAAATGATATTGAGGCTAATGTCTACATTTTATATATGGTATGATTTAAACATGGCATTAAGAAGATCTAATCCAAAAAAAAAAAAACATGGAAACAATCATTGAAGTGAGAAAGTTATGGTTCTTCCATCGACATTCTGTTTGATATGACTATTAACAGAACTACCAAAAACCTAGATTTAAGATAGCTGTATGAGTTCCTTTTATGACTTGGAATGCATATGCAAATTAGGCTAATGTATCATAAGCCTGAAATTATAGTGTATGCCTGAATATAAGGTAAGGTTTTTAACCTCCTAAAGTCACTTCTTATCTTGTATTTGAGTTCTTACAGTATCTTATATTATGAGATGCTCATTACTTACTGTTGAACAAAAAAGTTTTGGGGGAAAACACATTAGCTTAAGAATCAACTTCAATGAAAGCTAGTTTTAGGGTGTTTACTGAAGTATCTTAAGAGAATCAGAAAAGATGGGGGGCAAAAACAATGAAGACATTAACTATTTCCTGGTAATAACCTTAACTATTTAAGTGTTGGATGTTGTTACTAAGAAAGTCTTTCAAAAACTGCTTTTAAAATGTAGTGCAACAGTAGTCAGAAAGGACACAAGTCAGAGTACTTACTTCTGGGTAACTGGGTAGCTAAGGGACAAGACTGGGTAGCTGACCTACTTTTCACCACGTACCTATTTATATGCTTGACTTCTTAAGCCATGTGAATATGTTACCTACTCAAAACAAAATATGGTTCAATTCTTAATCAGGAACTACGGTCTTAAAAAAATGATACAATCAGTCATAAATATTAGTTGACTGTTGTAGATATGAATATACAAGTATAAGACAAGCCCCACTGTTTTACAGCAATTGTGGTTTAGACATAAAATCTTCAGTGTCAGATGATACATGTATTCAAAAACTGTTAGAACTCAAACAAGAGACAGAAATGAAGATGCAGTCTGGGCTTTAGGGCTAGACAGACCATGCAAAGGGGTTCTACTGAAGATAAAATGCTTACCACAAAGATTTTTAGATAAGGTTTGAGCAAGAAGGTTTTATGAAAGAAGAGCATGTACAGCAGTTCTTGTATACATGGCTATGCTTCATAAAATGTGATTTTACTTAAGCACAAGTAAATTCACTTAAATCAGTAAGTTAAATTTTTTACCATTTCATCTACCTTTCTAAAACTTTACAAGGGAAGACTACCTTATTTTTGGACTTATCTTATATTCAGACATACATATTCAAGAGAACATTCTTGTAAGACAATATGGTGAGTTATATCAAGTAAATCACCTCAAAGTATAAACTTTCTCCACATACTTCCCTCCTCTATTACATATAACTATTTTCTTGAGCAATCGTATACTACTGGAATTTTACACAAGTTCAGCTCTTATTTTCTTTGAGAGTAATAATTTGAACATGATACTGGTCCAAATGTACTGTGTCAATCTGATCAGATGTAGTCATGTTTCACCAAATGTGCTTATCCTCTCTCAGCTACTAAGAGGGAAGGTTCTATGGCCATCATTGGTCAACCACAGCCTCCTGAAGGCTTTGATGGCACCTTAGCAAAAATGTGGCTTTATACCAATCAAACTAAACAAGGATTGTGCCTAGCAAGTTCAGCCACAGTATCATACCTAATCTGAAGGGAGAACAAGTAATTCCAAAGACATGTACTAAGGAACTAAGAATAGTAGCATATATCTCCTTCATTTAGGCCAATAATGGAGAGGACTGGGAAACACGATAACAAAGTACACAGGAGTGTTCTGGAAGTAAACAATTTTATTTCTTCTGACTTTAAAAACTGAAAATTAAAAATTACATGCAATGTAAAACTCATCAGAAATGTGGAGAGCACAGCAAGTAAATGCAGTGAAATTCTTAAGTTTGCCTTTCTAATGTGAATGCTCACTGTGTGAATTTTGACTTCATATTTGCCAGTTTTTATGTTAAGCATTAAAAAATAAGTGTGTATCATCCATCTCTATTAATTTATGTCAAAAACTGAACAGTTTTGTGTTTCTAGAGATTCTGGGATGTTTTTGTGATCAATGAAAATTTCCCGAACAGTTAGCAAATGAATGTAAGATACTCATTACGTATACAATGATAAGCCAACCAAAGACTGAGAATATGGTCTTATTCTATACTCACCTCACTAATATAAAAAATACTCAAATAAGAAGTTCTTGCTTTCTCAGTGATGATTAAGATAAGGCATAACACAGTGGAGATGGGAAAATCTAGTCAAATCCAGTCTATTTATCCTGGAATCAGGAGAGGAAGCTACTTTCCATGCCATTCTGCCAACATAATGTTGACACCAAAGATATTTACTGACAAAATAATGACAGAATTTGATGGAAAGTGAAATTCTACCTATTACTACTCAAAACCAGCCAGCGCCCCACAGGATTCTCTCCTCCAATAGAGACTTGCTGGATGTAACTGACAGAACTTACTACCCAAGAGGAACTGAGTTCATAGGAGCTGAGTCTCTTAACCAGAGTTCCCACCACACACAGTGAATCAGGACTCACCATTCTTCCTTTCGTTCAGAGGGGGTAAGTGCTGACTGGACTGCAGGGAGAGCTCTTGGAATTCGTGGGCAACGGCTTCACTTTGAGGACTTGGAGCAAGGTGGGCTAAAGGTCCCAACTCATCCTCAGTGTCCACTGCCCCTGTGTGATCCATTGTGTTCCAGCCACTGGCAACGGGGGGTACAAGACACCTCTTAAATGTGGCCTGTTGAAGAGACTGTCAAGAAGAAAAAAAAGGTAAATAGATGGTGCGTTTATTTTTTCCCAATTTGCACAAAAGCTTTAAAATGGGAACCCTGGGTTCTAGTTCAATCTCACTGTTATGTGGCACGTGCCCATGCATTTACCCTCCCATTACCTCAGATTTCCTGTCTAACACACAGGAATAGCACATTTCCCATCTAAAAAGCACTTTACTAGGTGAATAAAAATTGAAACATTTTACATAATTTTTATCCCACTGTTAAAAGAAATTTATAGTTACTGGTGTCATTATTGAAAGATCTTAATGCATCTTCAAATGAAATTAAAGTTAACTTAATACTGATGAAAATTTAAAAGCAGTCTGGTTTGAAAATCTAGACTTTTGCATAACAACTTCACATTGAATCAACAGTTACAGCAACCAGTAATGTTTCAGACATTGACCCCTTTATCAGCCAGTTTCCCAGACTCATAGGACGGGAACAGAGTTCTCAGCTGAACAACAATGAACATAAAGTTTATGAAAACAACAACAAAACTTCATTTTAAACTTCTGAGATTTGGGGCTGTTTTCTTTCACAGCCAACCGGACCCATTTTGACCTACATAGAAATCAATAAGACATATCAAAAATACAACAGTAACCCTAACTATGTACTGGCTCAGTGGCTAAGTAACAGGCAAGAAATCTGTTATTAAAAACTAGAAGGATGGTGGCCCATCTCACATAGTGGCAGAACAGTTGATACAGTTGCCTGCTTTGGGGTATTCCATACCAGCTTGTCTACCCATTTGCGTACTGATATACATGAGAGTTCTTTCTAATTTTTGATTATTTTAAATTAAGATGTTATGGAAATTCTTATACAAGAATAAATACATATATGTTTTCATTTCTCTTGGGTGAATACCTAGGAGTGAGATGCTAGATCATATGGCTGCTGTAACTAACAAATTATTTTCCAACATGGTGGCACCAGGTTGCATTCTTCCTGGCAATGAATGATAATTTCAGTTGTCCCACATCCTTGCAAATATTTAATTATCATCAGTCTTTGAAAATTTTGGTTATTTTAAAGGTAACTCATGGGTTTAATTTGCATTTCCCTAATGGTGTTGAGCATCTTTTAATGTACTCATTTGCCATCTGTGTATCTTCTTTGGTTAATTACTGATTGAATTGTTTATTCATTTCTTAAATTGGGTGGTTTATTTTATATTGTTTTAAGAGCTCTTTATATGTCCTGGGCAAAAGTCCTTAATCAGAGATGTGATTTGCAAATATTTTCACCTAATCCATGGCATTTTTAAAGTATTTTGTGGAGAACAGATGTCTTTAATTATCTTTTTTTTTCATGGATTATGTTTGTAGTGTTGTAGCTAAGGAATCTTTGACTAACCCAAAGTGACAAAGATTATTTCCTAAGTTTTCTTCTAGATATCTTATAGTTTCACGTTTTAAATTTAAGACTGTGTTCCATTTAGTTAATTTTTACATACACTGTGATACAGAAATCAAAATTGCTTTGTGGGTTTTTTTTTTTTTTTTTTTTGGCCTAAAGATACCTGATTGTTCAAGCAGCACCTGTTGAAAAGTTTTCTTCTATAAATATGTGGACTTATTTTTTTATATTTAAAAGAGCAGGTTTATTAGGGAAAGGGACAGAAAAGTAAAAGACACTTGCATAGACACAAGTAGGCAGGAAGTGCTGCCCCAAAAGGGGCAGGTTTGCTGAGAGAAGCCTGCATGGTTGCAGGTTGGTGGCCTTGTGGAGAGCTGCCTCTGCTGAGGGAGGTCAGTGAAGAGAAGCCCTGGCTGCTGCCCTGTGGAGGGAGAAAGTTGGTGAAAAGAAGCACCTGCATAGTCACAGGTGGGCAGAAGGACTGCCGCCACATGGATTTTTCTTTTTTTAAAAGATTTATTTATTTATACAAGAACCAGGGTACAGGCCAGATGCGTGGGAGGGTGAGAGGATTCACCAGAGACAGAGTGGGGAACAGAACAGGCAGACTGATGAAATACACTGCTGAGGGGAGCAGTGGGCGCCACAGGAGAAGTCTACTGTGCCATGTGGAACCCTCGCCAGCCGACCGGGGTCAAACTGTGCTGTAGAGGCTACGGACAGCTTCACGGTGCTGCACTCAACCGCCTGCGCCACCAGGGAGGCCCTGGATTTATTTCTCACCCTACATTTACTTCCAGTAAGGAAAGCATTGCTAAGAAGGAGCCCTAAATTCAGTGCACAGTCTACCCAAGTCTCTGGCTGACCCCTAAAGTATGTATACTAGATTCCTAACAGTCCACTAAGCCAAAAAGAACAGAATAGAGATTTTTAGCTGCTGCTCACCAGAGGAAGGAGTTCATCAAAATTAACTGCCTGCTAAAACAAAACAATACTCATAATGGAGAACTTTAAAGGATCCAGAGTCTCTATACCTGTCCATCAAGAATCCCATATTCAACAAAAATACCTTTTAATAAGGAAGGCAAAATTGTCACCAGAGGACCCAAACTACAAGTAATGTTTGAAGCTGAAGAGAAGTGATACCAGGTAGACACTTTGATCTCAGGAATGAAAAGTACTATAAAGGGTAAACATGTAGTTTTGTTCTTTTGATTCCTTTAACATTATAATTCAAAATAAAATTATAACACTGTCATGGGGTTTATAAAGTAATTACAACAACAGATGTAATATATATGATAATTATAGCAGAAAAGATAGGGGAGGGTTAGTCATATCACATTATTACATTTCTATACATTGGAAGGAAGTTATACAATTTATAATTCTTGGAGCATGATTAAAGAATATAAGTAGTTTTAACTAAAAATCCAGTAAGTCGATAAAAAAAAATTCTAAAAATATATAAACTAAAAGCTAAGGAATAGAGAAACAAAAAACAGCAAAAACAAAAACACAAAGAGAAGACCCAAATCCAATCTTAACAACTGCATTAAATGTAAATGGACTAAACACTTATTAAAAGACAGAGATTGTCAGGATGAATTTTTTTAAAGTCTAAAAATGTATGCTTGTAAGTACCATACTTTAAATAAGAAGACATAAATAGGGTAGAAGTAAATTGATAGAAAAAGTCAGCTTATATAAATACAAAGCCCAGCAAGACTGGAATGACTACATTAATGTCAAACAAAGTAAACCTCAAAAAGATGTTAGGGGAGGGGCGGAGCAACATGGCGGCAAGGAGACGCTGCGAGTAAGATCTCCCATTAAAAAAAGTTAATAGGGAGGAAAAGCGGCAGGTCCCAGTGAGAACTGGGACACGGAAGATAAACAGGTGACGCCAGCGAACTGCCCGAAGAAGAAAGTGGCCATAAAAGAGGACTAGAAGGGAGGGAAGCGCAGAACCCTGCTCCCCTCCCCAGCCCACAGAGGCGGCACTCTCCGACCGGCAGAGAGGAGGAAAACAACAAACCAAAACGGCCAACAAACTACGCAGCAAGCGGGACTGTGAGTGGAAAAGAACTATTGCAGCCACCACACCCCGTGAACGGGAGCTGAGGCGAACCCTGCAGGATCCGCCACGGCGGTGAGCGAACGGCTCCGGGCGCCATTAGAGAAGAACAAAGACCCCGGGAGACGCGCACACAGCCCGGGCTGCCGGTAAGCTTGCGCAGGAAAGCGGCGCACTCGGCGCGCTTGAAAAGCAAGTGCAGACCGGAATTGCGGCTGCCCAGGTCCCCGTGCCTGCGACCTAGGCTTGCGGGGAGACGCGCGGAGGTCCTCACTGAGGTGAAGGTCCCTCCCTGAGTAAGCAGGAACCAGGCGCCCAGGCACGGGAGCGGCGCCATTCCCGCGCCACTGAACTGGGCTACAGCCCGCGTCCTGGAACTGAGGGCTTTGAACTGAGACCCGGGGCACGAAAATTCGGGGCGTGGGTTCTCCACGACGGTGGGGCACAAGGCAGAAACAGCACCCCAAAGCTGTTGAGGTGTACCCTACCATTCCCGCTCTGTTCCCTGTCCCACGGGGTGGGGGGAGGCGAAAAACAGCCCCCCAAGGACAATAGGAGAGATCTCTGGCGCCACCTAGCGACCAGGAAAAAAAAGTCACTAACACCCCATAGAACAGGAAATTTCTTAAGACTGCTTGAAAAGGGCAGAAGGCTCTGGAGGACCCAGTGGCCAACCAGGAAGTTATTCCACGCCAGGCCCCTTCCGACCAGCAGTCTGAGCCCACAGAGGGAGCAGGCACCCACGTCCGGGGCAGACCGGGTGCGCAGAAGAGTGTGCCTGAAACCGGAGGCGCAGGGACTGCATCCCGCTTCGCCATTTGAGAACAGGGACATTTCTTCAGTAAAAACTGCCTAAAACCAGCAGAAAGCTCCCCCAGAAGACAGAGATGGCTCCTGGAAGAGCCAGAGGGGAGCGGAGAAGTTCACCCAAGATGTCAGTCAGTCCGAGCAACACAGTGTCCCAACGCATACGACAAATTAGAAAACAGACAGTAGGGAGTAGAAGAACCACACGCAACCTAACAACTCCTCAGGAAAGAAGCACACCACAAAAAGAAAACCACTCCCCAGATTGCAACGACAGCAACTTGGAAGAACTTCTGAGCCTTCCAGAAAGAGAATTTAAAATTACCATGATTAAAAAAGTGATAGATCAGAAGAAGGAAATTGAGTCCCTAAAGAGGGAAAACAATGGTCAGAAGAATGAAATTGAGTCCCTAAAGAGGGAAGTAAAAGAAATGCAGGAGATCAAAGAATTAATGGAGGAACTAAAGAACTCCGGGAAAAGCAAGGAAAGCAGAATTGATGAAATGGAAGAACGAATAAGTTCTCTTGAAGACACAGAAATAAAAAGAACCAAAACAGAAAAGGAAAGAGAAGTACGAAGGAAAAAGAATGAAGAAAGACTTCGGGAACTATCTGACTCCATGAGGAAAGGAAATATAAGAGTTATAGGAATTCCAGAAGGAGAGGAGAGAGATGTAGGAACAGAGAAAATATTCCAGGAGATAATTGAAGAGAACTTCCCAAATG